GATACTGAACCCCTAATTTGCTCCCGTAGGCTGTGCCATTGGTGTGTGAGTGTGTGTGAATGAGCATTAGATTAGATGATAAGTGGTTCGGCAAATCAGTGTGTGTATAGGGAATGTTGACATGTAGTGTAAAGGCACTATTCACTACGATCTGCCTCTCTCCATGCACTCGTGTGTTTGTAGCCTTGAAGCTCTGCTGTTAAGAATAGAACATTCCAAACAGCATCCCTCAAATGTTCCAAACCCTGTGAAACTCTATTAAAGATGCTAAATGTTTCGTTATATTTCAGTTATTCTTTTTTCACTTTGGCACGTTTCCGGAATCATTTGCAATTCTTTCCGAAATGCTCCTTCTATAATTTGTTGTCAGACCTTGTCATTGCATTACATAAAAGAAAAACTATTTCAGAAGACCAAAAAGGAAGGAAATATAACATCCAAAATGTTTACATCTGAGATCTGATTGTTTATTGGTTGATCTAATGATTTACATATTTACCCTATAAGAAACAGTCACGTTTTACCTGAGAACAAATCATCAATTCCATCTAAGCGCACCTTGTTCCTACAGAGGCCAGTAATGACATTGTCATGTCATGTTTGCTTTGTGTGATATTTTTTTATCGTATTTGATTGTGTTAAATGGGTTTACGATATCTCCTTATATCGACCAAAGGGCCCTGAATGTAATCGAAATCATATCTCTGTAATATCAGCAAATATATCCAAGGAATCAATATAATATGGTATTGTGATGAAACTAGATTTACACATCGTCCATAAAAACTTCCCACCTCTTTAGCTTCTCTGCACAGCCTGATGGATTGTTTGCTTTTGTCGTCCTAGGTGTCCCTGAAGGTAGCAGCAGTCACAGTGACATGGGCAGGAAAGGTAATCACACACCCTGCAGAGCTAACACAGGAGCCCCTCCTGAGCTGCCCAGCAGAAAATGACTCAGGGAAATGGAATCGGAGAGACAAGGGATGGCTGCCTCCACTCCCAGGCCTCCAGGGACCTGGAGCAGTCCAATGGCATCGAGAAAGTTCAAGAGGTCAACGAGTGTGAATCCGAGGAGGGGGGGCAGGGAGGTGGAAGCGGGGGCTCCGTGGCTGTGCCGGGAACAGTCACAGCTCCAGACGGTGGCTGGGGGTGGGTGGTGCTGGCTGCCACCATCGTAGTGCTGGCTCTGACCCTGGCCTTCCCCTCCTGCGTGGGAATCTTCTACACCGACCTGCAGAATGAGTTCCACGCCTCCAACAGCGAGACCTCCTGGGTGCCCTCCATCATGACGTCAGTGCTGCACGCAGGAGGTAAAGCTGGCATACCAGGAAATAAACTGGGCTCTGTTTTATTATTTCCTCATCTGTCATTCATTCCTGTATACTGGCGGTTTAACAATTCCTCAAATTTATGGCTTAACTCAGACCTCGATTCCTGAGCCATGGTTTCTACATCTGTATTTTTTTGTTGTTGGTATTTTTGGGCAAGGTAAAGGGGTGATTATTTTTTTATTAGATCAACTACAAGAAAATACTCTAACATATTGTGGTGCCTTAAAGGCTTTCAGCTCATTTATATTAAAGGGGCCCTTTTGGGGCTTTCCATTCCCTTTAGTGTATAATATAGATTTTGTGCATGTAAATGGTCTGCAAAGGCTAAAATCCCAAAGTTCCCTCCAGAGGGAGTTTCTCTCCCACACACTACAAATTAGCATAATAGGGCCCCTTTAAGAGATAAGTCATCCTGAGGTAGATTAACTTTTTTAATTGAGTTCACATGAACTAACTCAATAAAGAGGAACATTTTACACATCGCTGACGATTTACAATTAGTTTTAAACTTGCAAATTGAACATAAAGTATCCAGAAAAGCGGAAGAGTAATTTGATTGAATCTATTATCGGATGTATCCTCTCTGGATATGGCACAGACGCATGCAGACCGTGAGGACCTTTTACTCTGACACCAGTGAGGTGGAGACAGTTCAGGAGCAGAGATCCGCCTCGCAGCAAGAGCTGAACAGGCATCTGTCCCTGTGGCAACAGCTTGGGTAGGGGGAATGATACACACGTGTTTATTAAAGAATTTAACATTTAAGTTGCCCTTTAATGCCCCGCAGCCTCGGGGTAACTTTAGCTCCTACCTGCTGTTGTTGTCCAGGGAAGCAGTGAAACTCGAGAGAGAATTTGTGCGTGTTTTAAACTGCCTTGCTGGGTTCGTGTTGATTTTGAAAGGATTATTCCATGAGAAACTAAAGTTTGGTTATTACCCACAGCTCACGTGGACTTTAATATGCTCAACATCACGACTTCAGGGTTAGAAATAATAATCCAAACTTTAATGTGACACTTAGTTACTTTAATAGAAAAAGAGATGTCAAAATTTTCAGGATTCATGTTCTGGAGCTTTTTAGAAGACTTTTAGGAACGGTATTCATATTATAAAATACAAAAATCTAATTTGCATTATTTCCGATGACTCACTTTTAGGTAGGTAGGCAAGTTGAACTGAGGCCTCTGCCACTAGCATTGAAAAGATACTGATAAAGAAAATATACATAGACTATTAAAAGCTTGTGTTGTATTGACACAAATGTATATTCAAAGACTAGTATTCTTTTGTCAGTGCACTAGTTCTCCGTGTGGTGCACACAGCGCTTTCTCTATCTAAGGTCAATATAGAAGATCAAGCTTTTTATTTTTGGCAACATCTTGTTTTCGTCTGTGTGTGTGAAGCCAAATGTAGATTAGGTGAAAAGCAGGATTTTGTGCTGCTGCCGACAGCACATCATGCCTGTAAGAGATTTCCTCTTAAAACAAGTGAGAGTTAGATAGCAGTTGGGCCTGGAGAAGATCATTTCACAGGAAATCCAACCCTTGGATGCATTTACAGGAAGGAATGTTGTTAGTCTGACACTCGAACTCAGTCCAGGAACTTTCTATGTTAAAAAACAGTTGTTTCAAAGTGTCAGTGGATATTTTGGTGTTTTACTTCTTGAGGAATTACAAAAATGATTTCAATGAAAAGAAAAAGAACATGATAAGGGTGGCTAGTGTTTGATTGTTGACGTATTCTCACACTCACTCTCTTATACAGATCAACCTTATCTCGGTCTGGCAAGTTGTGTCTCTGGGACTGTTGTGTCCTCAGGTACCGAAGGAGAGGAGGGGGGGTTCGGTTACGTAGTGGTATGTGAAACGTGGTTGCTGTACCAGTCTGTTTTGGTCATGTGTAGTCATTAGAGATCTTGTCCTACGGTACGGAACACAAAATGCCAAGCGGTTCCCTCGTCTATATATCCATCCCTCCGCACCACTCTCCACTTGGGGCCGCGTGCGGCGATTTTAACGTGCTCTCGGCATTGTTATCCGTACCCACTTTCTTTGTCGCTATACCAGTAATCAGCTAACGACCAAACCAAGACTGTTCTTTCCACACCTAAGTTTTACAGCTCTATAGATTCGCTCGTCACCCCGCTTTGACAAACCGAAAAGCTGTTCCACACACGCCTTGACCCTCAATGACCAAAAAACAACACAGTTTCAGGTTTTGGTTGTCTATAAGTGAAATAAAACTCTATTTTGACTCTTTTCGTCTTCTTAAATTGTAACTCTCCTCGTTTGTCTTAAAGACGTGGTAAAAAGTCNGGGGTTGAGATCTGGAGACTGGCTAGGCCACTCCAGGACCTTGAAATGCTCAATGATCCCAAACACACCGCCCGGGCAACGAAGGAGTGGCTTCGTAAGAAGCATTTCAAGGTCCTGGAGTGGCCTAGCCAGTCTCCAGATCTCAACCCCATAGAAAATCTTTGGAGGGAGTTGAAAGTCCGTGTTGCCCAGCGACAGCCCCAACACATCACTGCTCTAGAGGAGATCTGCATGGAGGAATGGGCCAAAATACCAGCAACAGTGTGTGAAAACCTTGTGAAGACTTACAGAAAACGTTTGACCTCTGTCATTGCCAACAAAGGGTATAAAACAAAGTATTGAGATGAACTTTTGTTATTTACCAAATACTTATTTTCCACCATAATTTGCAAATAGATTCTTTAAAAATCAGACAATGTGATTTTCTGGATCTTTTTTTCTCATTTTGTTTCTCATAGTTGAGGTATACCTAGGATGAAAATTACAGGCCTCTCTCATCTTTTTAAGTGGGAGAACTTGCACAATTGGTGGCTGACTAAATACTTTTTTGCCCCACTGTAAATCAAGGTGAGGATTTTGTAATTTTTTCATAGACTTGGCAACTGCTCTTCTTTTTGCAACTGCTGCATATGTTTTAACTGGATTATTGAATTACGTCATCCTAGGTGTTGATCTTCAAATCAGGAAAGAAGGAGATCGAACGTCAAGAACATTCGGGCTAACACCGATGTTTAACAGACTTCTATACAACTGAACTGGGCGCCAAAAAGAGTCGGAAAAACACATTTTAAACATGAAATATGTCTTTTGTGTTTTCACCAATTTGTTTCTGTTGGATGAATTCTAACAGGGAGAGCTGACTGTTATGAGGCGAGTAATGATGAAGACAGCAACTCCCATAATGCAAAAGCAAACTCCTTCTTCTGTTATTGTTTGGATTAAGAGATTCCTAGCAGCAGAAAAGTGCATTTAAACCCATAGTGCAATGCACAAAGGAAATAGGTTTTCAAACTGCAGATGGTGGTCAGTTTATTATGATGAATCAAAACATTGTTGATTGATGTGTGCATCATTTTCCAATTCAAAACAAAAAGTACATTATTTATTGTACTCTAACTGCAGTACATTACTAGTATGTAATTAGGACACAGCAGCTGTTGGGGGTTTCACCCCTGCCGTCTAACCCAACCAATACATCTTCCTTCAGGGCAGCTCTCTCATTAATAAAACTGTTTCTACCAAAGACTAAAATCTGCCAGAGGCTTTTAAATCCAGCTGAGGCAAATCCTATCCAGACCATCTGATTATTATGTGCCCCCGGTCCCTTACCTCTCCCCTCCATCTCCCACTCTACCTGCTAGTGGAGGCCCGATGAGCAGCGTGATGCTCTCCATGACAGCGAGCAGGCCCAGAGCGGAGGGGAAGCGCTTCATCTCCACGATCTCCATGAGGACAGTGAACATCAGGGATCCCACCACACTCATGGACAGCCCGTAGAAGACCACGTAGACGAGCAGCACGGGGAAGCTGGGCCCGATGCAGCAGATAGTGTTACTGAGCCCGTTGACCAGCAGCGCCGAGGCAAACACGTAAATGTGTCGCCCCTTGAACCAGGGCAGGCTGAAGAGGATGCCGAAGGGCGGCCGCACCACGATGTTGACCATACCCATGATGGAGATCAGCAGCGCGGCGCGGCCTTGCTCCATGTCGTTAGCCGTGGCGTAGGGAACCAAGTAAATCAGAGGCACCACGAACCCCAGCATCATCCAGGTGATGCCGATGGCGTACACGCAGTAACGCGAGTTGTGGCAGAGCTGATCAAACGCCATGTGTTTTCTCAGAGCAGCCACAAAGTAGTTCCATATCCTCCTCATCCACCCTTTTTCCTTCGTCACTTTCTCCTCCTCAGGCGGAGGGGGTCCATGGTTCATCAGCGGCTGGCCTCGATGCTTGGGGGGCTGCAGGGGCCTCATCAAGGCTCCACACACGCAGCAGTTCAGCAGCACGGCCCCCAAAACAAGGAAGCTGCCCCTCCAGCCCAGCTCTGTGTGGAGGTAGTTACCCAGGAAAGGTAGAGTGCAAAGTCCCAGCGCCGTGCCCGTGGAGGACATGGCGTTGGCAAAAGCACGGCGACGCACAAAGTAGTGACCGAGGATTGTCACCGCTGGCTGGAAGCTGAAGCAGAAACCCAGTCCTGAAATGAGAGAAAAACATTCAGAATGGAGCAACATCAGGTATAACATTGTGTTTATTGATTTACAAGATTATGTAAAGAAAATGTGCAGTAGAAAATAGATGCAGCCAGTGGTGGAATTACCAAGTACATTGTCTTGAGTATTTCCATGTTATGCTAATTTATACTTCTACTCCACTACATCTTAGAAGTCAATATTGGACTTTCTACTTCAATCCAAAGCAGCCAATTTATTATATTTTAATCTATACACCTATTGCACGTCTGTCTCTTCGGGGAGAAGGATCCTCATCTGTTTTTTTTCAACCTTTTCCCCATTAATTGTTGGGGTGTTCCTTGTACCCTGCAGAGTCTAAGGACAGAGGGTGTAATTTATAATAATGGGCTAAAATAAATCGAATGTAATTGAGTGAGTCTTTTTATGCTTTGTTAATTGTGGATACATGTAGAGGAAAAACCTGTCTCAAGGTAACAGTGGATGAGATTATTCTTATTAGTATATGAAGGATCATTTCCGGGTCAAGTATTTCTTTAATTTATTTTTAATGCCACCTAACTTACTCTAACATACTTTAACTTAAAAACTTTATAATTGTTTATACCCATTTACAGATAAGTATAATTTGAAGACACGTTTTTTGTCCAGCTTTGGTCTCCACCAACTCCTAGGGAAAATGCTGTATATGTTACTGCTAGATATTAGCTATTCTCTAAATGCTATTATTTGGCGGGCAGGAAGTGAACATTTGAAAAGATTATAAATCAGTGGACGGTTTGCTGACCTGTAATAACCCCAGCTGTGACGTAGAGCTGTTCGATGGACTGGGTAAAGGAGCTGGCAGCCATTCCCAGCCCACTCAGGACGCCGCCCAACATGACTGTCGCCCGGCAACCAAGTCTCCCCACCAGCACGCTACAAAATGGACCTTTGGATCAAATGTAATGCTCTTAGTTTAATGCATACCGGAGCAGAATCAGGCTTACACAGAGGAGAGGTCAGCAGGTCTCACATTAACATTTCTTGTGTTTATCTGTAATCTGTACCAGCTAGATGGAAGCACTGAAAGCATGACTGAACACTTACTTTGTGTGAGTACATGGGCTATAGCTTAAGTATAGCAGTTAGCTTGCTGACCTATATAACTGTGTGAAAATATGATGCATTTCAGGGAAAATACATAGATAGATGGAGAGGGAAATGACTGCAAAATACCAGCACAAAGAAAGAGCACAGTAAATGTTTACATATCAACACTAGACATATATGTATATTTAGAGAGTATAAAGAGGAAGTTACACATTGGGTTTCCTGAATTCTCAGTGCTGAACACAGCAGGATATATCGGTTAAAGGTCACAACGAGGGGTGGTAAATTCAACCCACGCCTGTGTTGTTAGGCAACAGGTCTGTAAGGTATTGATGGGGAGAGTACCTGGACCATACTAAGCCTCTCAGTGTTTAAAGACTAAGGTCTGCAGAAGTAGCATCAAATATAGAGGATGGGAAAAAAACACTATTAAAAGGGATAGTTGGGGTTGTATGACGTATGCAATCATAGTCAGGGTTTTACCAACACTAGACAGAGGAGTGCACTCCCAAAACAGGCAGTAGAAAAGGAAATGAGGCTAACCAATGTCTGCTGTGGATGGGGGAACAGCAGCAAAACATATTGTAGCCATCTATGAAAGTCAATATCTGTTTAAAGGGGTCCTAGTGTGCTTTTTAGGGGTTTTCCTTTCCATTAGTGTGTTATTTATACTTATTATATTACGTTTTTTTACTATTCATTCTACCGTGTTGTGTGCTGTTTTATATTGTTCCATGCTCACTGCTTGTAGCACTTCGGGATTTGACTTCAAATATTAGGGCGGTGATGGCGAAGTCGATAGGCAACTGGAAGGTCACCAGTTCAAGTCCCGGCAAGACCAAGTGCTACTGAGGTGTCCCTGAGCAAGGCACCGTTCCCTACACTGCTCCCCGGCAGCACACTGCTCCTAACACTAGGATGGGTCAAATGCAGAGAAACAATTTCCCCACGGGGATTAATAAAGTATATATATAAAAAATAAATAAAAATGAAGTGCGTTACAAATGAAACCCATTATAAGAATTTCTCGTGTTCTGTGAGTGACAGTTTTTATGTATTGGGGCTGGTAGATCTGACGAAAGCACAGAACAGCTTTAGTTCCTCATCGGAAGGGGCAATCTGAAGGCAAGGTGAAGTGGACATAATATCCTAAATATCGTTTAAACATCAAATGATATATTGTTTTGCTGCTGTCCACAGCAGTACATTTCACAGCTTCTCGACTGGTATTCCTTTCTGTTTGTGCAAACTGGGGGTGTGCCAACCACAATCTGTAGTAGGTATTACTCTTACTATGCTTAATAAGCTCAACAGGCCCCTAATTCCAACCATCCAAAATATTCCTTTAATACTCTGTATCTGCTCATTTTATTGTGTGTACACTCGACTTTTAGTTCAACTTAAATGTAACGTTCAATCACTGATGGGATATCGGAATAAGAGCTGCTCAAACTTTATGCAGCTCATTGAAAAGATCAATCTTATGTTCCAGTCAGATTTCTGTCAGATCAGGAAAATGTCTAACATCAAAGCATTCCTGTGTCCAAAAACCATGAGAACTCAAGCAGGTGCGATTTTCACACACCCACCTGTTGTAAAAAAAGTCCCTCTACTTTGCTCTGAATGCAGCAGCTTAAAGGATAAGACTGGTGTAATTCTATATTTTCTTTGAGTCCACAAATCCCATGAAAATATCAAAACATCTCTCAATAGATCCTCACTTTATTTTGTAGACTGTGGCTCTCAGCCCTGAGGCCACTGGTTCCTACTGAAGACAAACATCTTACAAACAGATCAAAATTGATAATCTTCTGTTTAAAAAGGCTCAGTAATTTCTGCTGTGCACCACCGTAGTTATTTTTGAAATGTAACCCAAAACAGGAGGAAATTGAGCATTTGTTTGGGACCATTTTCAGCAACCAATAATCCGTCTTTTGCTACTCAAGTGAGTATTTGGGGCCGAATGACCGACATATTGTGACATTAGTGAAGCTCTACAACACATATGAATAAGATATATCAGGCTTTAGAATGCACACATAACTTGTTTGTTTTGGTATTATTTGTTGACAGTAAGAAATAATAATAAAAATCACTAGACATGGCCTTTAAAATAAAATACAAAAAACTGAATGTGTGCCTTTAGTGACCCCCTATGATTCCTTGGTATTCAGATTTGTAATTTCCAAAAGACTAAGCTAACTTTGATGCAATAGATTGTACAATAAATGTTCGATTTGTAGCTATATTTGAATAAGTATTTTCATTATCAATAAAAAAAAATACTTTCAAAAGAAGTTGAATGGATGAATTCAGGGGTCAAAATCAACACATGTTTATGACACATTGCTGATTTGTGCCAAAAGGAGTCAAAAACACGCTTTCTGTTGACTTTTAAGAAATGGTGGGGATCAGGTTAAAGTAGTGCGATAGCATTAAGAATGCACAGACCGGTACTGATATTGCCACATCACTTTGTATGACAAAAAAAGGGTGCAGGAGCAAGTTACTGAGCAACGCCTACAGACAAACTACACTTCACTGATTTATGTGTGTGGACACAGGGCACTCATTTTAAAGAATGATGATTTTAACTAGTTTTGACAGTTGATGCACGTGCAGATGTGACAGAAAGAGGATGGAAGTTATCAAACCAATCTGATAAAATGCAGCCGTTGCAAACTAGGAATGTCCTCGCCTAAAGAAATTCTAAGTCCTTCAACACGCATACAGTACAATCAACAGATCTGTGAAACTGATTTTCTCTACCTAAATCAGTTTCACAAAATGAACAGTAATCTTTAGTTTAGATTGGATAAGTATAGTACAGATGTGCTTATAGGTTTAAAGTGCTTACGTTTTAAATGACTTTCACACATGTTTTGTGGATTTTGCACTAAATAATTGGGTAATACCTTGCATTATTTGCATCTATCCTACCACCAAAATACGGGCGAGGTTAGGGGCGAGGAGGAGGGGGGCGGGGTCTACAATCTGATTGGTTGGTTAATTTCAAAAGCTAGCTATTCTGTATTCAAGTTAAACCAACGTGACAAACATACAAAAAGCAGAAGATGTGAGTAGAGAATATGTCTAGTTGTAGACCAACTGTTCAACACAAGACCTACAAACACAGAGCCATGCCTTCCTCTCCNCCAGTGTTCCTCTGTGGAGATGGGAGAACCAGAAGGACAACCATCTGTGCAGCACTCCACCAATCAGGCCTCTATGGTAGAGTGGCCAGAAGGAAGCCACTCCTCAGCAAAAGGCACATGAAAGCCCCCATGGAGCACCTAGNNAGTAGAGAATATGTCTAGTTGTAGACCAACTGTTCAACACAAGACATCTACACCTACAAACACAGAGCCATGCCTTCCTCTGCTCCCCCCACCATGCATCACATACACTTTGCACCAACACATGGGTCAGACAAAATCCAGTACACATCATAATCTCTAGAACAATGCATGCTCTTGTGTTTTCACGTGCCCAAACGACAGATATATATATATGTATATATTTTATTTGTTAAAATTGCACATAATCCGTAAGCTAATTAGTGCATGTGAAAGTAAAAACTATAATGGTCATTAGTTCTATTTTTTTGTTCTTACAAAAAGGGTGCTTGATTCGAAATGTCTAGATAATCACAGATCAAGGTCAGTGGTTCGCAAACTGTTTAGCTTTTGACAAGGTTTGCAACTATTGATTACTTTTCTGTTTGTCAGTCCAAAACCAAAAGATATTCACTTTATTTTGAGATAAAACTGAGAAAAGCAGAAGAATTTAACATTGAGAGGATGGCAAACAGAATTTTCTGCCATTTTCATATGAAACATTACATCAACAATCAAACACTAGCCGCCCTTATCATGTTCTTTTTCTTTTCATTGAAATCATTTTTGTAATTCCTCAAGAAGTAAAACATGTGGTGATTCACAAGAAACATCAACAGAGAAAAAAACAACAGCCATAGCAATGGTTCTGTAAGGCTGTACGTTTTGCTTTGAGCTAACATGCTAATGTTTAGCACGTATCCTTTTTACCTAATTAATTATCTTACTTGCATTTAAAATGTCTTTTATTAGCACTACTGTATTTAAAAAGGTACAGCTGTTGGTGAAGGAAATGTTATTATAGGAGTCATACAGATCTCCAAGAGTAACATTCAAGCACTTTTTAAGCACTTTCAAAGTACCCAATCCAAAATGATTGAGACTTTTGATAAATAGGGAACAAATAAGGTTTACAAAATGAATTATATGTATACATATTTTATACTGCCACTTTGTTTAATTAACCAGCTGTTTCTTTTAAATTAGATTGCATGTTCTTATAATATAATTAAATCAAAAATCATATTCTTAACCTTTAAGAGAAAATGATGTAGTACAGACGAAAAGCCAGGGATCATCCTCTGGGAACCATGAATATCTGTTCAATACGACATGTTGATTTATTTGGACCTACGATACTACCATGGCTAAGATAACTATAATTACAGGAAAAAAAGAGTATATATTGTTGCTTTCCCATCTTTTTAGCAGTCTTGCGACCACTTCTGGGGATACACCCTCAGTTTGGGAACCACTGAACTATGCAACCAAGGGAAGATCCAACTGGGTCCACAAAGTTGATGGGGAACAGTAAGTGCTTTAAGAGGTTAATAACACACATTTAACAATGGGATCATTAGAGATAGACCTTGCAACCCAATAACCAAAGAAGAAGAAGCTAATAGAGGTGGAGTTCTAAGTCAAATCCTTATCTGATGACAAGTGCACTGGTGTTTTTTGTTTTTTGAAGATAAGAGAAGCAGGGTAGTCAGCTGTGAATGATCTTTCTGCTGCAGAAAGCTCCTTGCTTTTATCTTGTTTCAATAAAAAAAATTATAAAGCCAAACCACCAGCAGTGTTTACAGCAGATTGGGACACGATCTGAACCTCCAGGAGTGATAAGGGGCAGCACAAAACAATGGCACAAAGAAAGCAGCTGGTTATCATTTGGAGTTT